CCAAATAGGTTTAATTATAATTTTGTAGATTAGTAGCTTATTTTTTACGCTTAGCTTAGAGTTTCTTGATGTTAGCCAGTACATGTGATTTTCTATTTGTTTGATCTTTTCTTGGATTGTGCTTTTCCCAGTTCAGTTTGTTGTCTAGATGTAATCCGAGATATTTGACGGAAAGTGCTTGAGATAATTGTTGAATTTGATTTTTGGAATTGGCCCTTTGTTGAGTGTGAATGTGACATGTACACATTTGGTTGTGTTAATTTTGATTTTATTGCTCTTTGTCCACTTTTCTATTTCGTTTAAGTGATTTTGTAAGGTTCTGGTTGCTTTTTTTATGCTTTTTTGGGTAGATATCAAAGATAATTATTGCATTCAGTTATTCAACATTCCGTATATTAAGATGATAAAACTAAACTATTGAAAATGCATAAATAATTGCAAGTAAAAAAATTTAACAAAAAGAAACATAGTTGTTTCCACAAGTATTTTTAATTTAGCTTCAGCGACGTGTATTTCTTTTTTTATCGAACTTCATTAAGCAACTATTATCGATACTCGAGTATACGATATGGGCTATCGTGTAAATATTAGGGTATTACTTTGTTTATTCGTTATGTAATATTCATTAGTACGTTCAATATTCGACAGTACTTGTAGATAAATTTAATGAACTACATATTTTATTACTATATATATATTATATTACTATATATTTTATCGACATTCTACAAGAATTACACATTGTAAACACGAACTTTAACAAATTTATTTCAAGTAAATTACGTCTTTGCATAATTTCAGAAAATTTTGTCGTAATTTATATTCGTAATTTATATTCGTATATGATAAATGTAGCATAAATATATTTCAATAGATATAGGTTGTAGTATTAAGCATTAATTTAACGTACTGACATACACTGATACAGATTAGCAGTATTCATATATTTTTCTTATTAATTTGCATTGTTGCAAAATACAAAGCAATATCAATTGATACACGTATAGTAGAAATGGCTAGTGGCAAAATTTTTATCATGATTGATATTTTGGAAAGAATTTTTTTAATTTAATATATTTAATTTAATTCTTCTATTCTCCGTCCACATGATCCGAGACGTATCTTATTTTGTCGACTTTGTCTTTCTCTTGTTTTTAAACACAGGAATCGTCGTGTAGCGCGGAATTCGAATGGTACACAAACGTCACTTGTACCTGCCAGTCGAGCTCTCAACAATCTACTGCTTTCTCAAACGTACAGGATGACGTACGAGACTTTTCTCCTAGTCACAGTGAGTAGAAAAATTTCCGTTTTTTTCCAAAGAGCATTTTCAATTTTCTCCTTCAGGTCATAAATGCATAAAAATCACGATACTTGTAAAATATACAAATAATCTTATATAATAGTAAAATCTAGTAGATTTATATCTGTCTCTTTAAATCTATTTAACTATTGAATAATCTTGATTAAGAATTTTAAATCTTAACTAAGAATTTTTATCCTGATACAATATCTGCAATATCATAAATTTTATTTATAATAATTTTATGAGAAGATTTAATTATGATAGTCTTGAGAAGTTGGTTATCTTGCTGGAGATAATATCATAGAATTTTAGTAGTCACCTCGATTTAATTATAACTCTTTAAGCCTGAACGAAACGTGCAATAAAAGAGTGTACGTAAGTTTCGGATAAACTCTTGGTAAAAGAAATTGAATGATTCGTATGTCGACATACTCCTCCATTTAAATCTGTTATAATAAGAATAAAAAGGGAATTTTAACATATACATTGCACATTATACTGCAAGATTCTACTATACATATGCAGTATAAAATTCTCTTATTTCTCGTATTAAATTTATTAGATTTTATAAAAAAGAATTAATAAAATCCTCCGATAATTAATAAAATCATAAAAAGAAAGGAGAGTAAAGCAAATGAAGAATGGGTAAAACCAAACTCGTCCATAAAATACTTTTTTTTTTCCATGCTTTAATACGCCATTCTACAAATTTATCGATATTTATTTCATGTTGTTATTGTAATATGGTATCTGTTTATCTATTATTTCCAGCTGGTGCAGTTGCAGGCATCGTGCTAAGTGTTATCGCTCTGGTAGCAGCGTTGCTTTATTTCCGAGATCCCAACAAACGAGCGTGTCTACGCTCCTGCATCAATCCGTTTTCTTCGAGAAGAGGCAGTGGTCGAGTTCAATATTGCAGGGTGCGTTATAAAAATCACGTTTTTCGCGTGTTCTGCTTGACCATGCATCATTTTTTTTTTTTGCTCAAAAATATCGTTACGTATTGAACAGTATTCTCGCGATTAGACTGAAAATGTTTATGCAAATTCGCATCTTGTGTAACATATTTTTTTTTTTTTATCTAGTCTAGTCTCATCGAAGATCGAAGTCATTCTGTATTACTCGCGATATTAAAAATTAAGGCAATTGAAACGAATTATTTAATTGCTTTGATCTTTTTCATACTTCTCGAAGATTGATTGTTGACGCGATAAGATTGTTGCTTTTGCGTCTTGTTCAAAATCTCCGCACGATTCTCAGTATTTCTATATTTTCCTTTTTACGAAAGGCTAGTGCCACTATGTACAACGCTAATTTGCATAATCGATAGATACGTACGAGGAAAATTGTTTAATTAAATAGCTTCCGTTTTTATACGTAATGGAGAAGACATCTGTATTTTACAGAGTATTCATTAAAATTACGTAATAACATATAAAAATTTGTTGTTTTAGGTAAACACCACGGAGGAAGCTCGTCTTCTGTTAGACGTTGACCCGACACAGTGCCAAACAGATAGCGACGATGATCTTTTGAACGCATAGTCGTTTCTCGTTTTTTCCCTTTGAAACACTATTTTATCTAAGTTTTAATACACGCGAGAATATTTATCAAACGCGTGAAACTTGTAACGCGTAAAATATGCTTTCTTCTTTCTTTTTTCTCTTTTTTTTTTTGCGTTTACCATTGGTTGTGATTAACCGGTTAGTTAGTCACTCTGATTTCGTGCCATAAACTGTAAGCGATAAGTATTATTTAGCGAGAAACGTATAGTAAATGGTATTAATTGTCATACTTCAAAAATGTTTAATTAATGTTTAGTTTTATTCAATCACTTGGAACTTCGCCGACATAAAAACTGTTTATTCTTAGTTGTTACAATTTACATGAAAATGACTTTTCTCTTTAGTTTTTTTATTTTACAATGAAGTTTTCGCTACCCTTTATGGCACGAAATTTATACGTATTTATTTCGATAACCGATTATATTGTTTATTGAAGTTAACACAGAGACTTTTAACGCAAAACATTCCAGTATATTTTTGAAAGAAGATTATATTTTATATTTATGATGTTAAAAATCAGTTTCATGTTGTTCCTTCGAACTCGAGAAGGTAATTTTCAAAATTGGATCAAAAAAATCAGTCACGACGTATCTCATAGAAGTCGCTACATTGAATGAACTTTAACGACGAATATACTATATAAAATGCAATATAAATGTAGCAGTACCATACGACACCGCTAATAAAATTTGATGAACAATTGAACAAAAAAATTCTGATGTCGCTAATATGGGTTCCTTGAACTAATATCGTGCTCGTGATTTATGTGATATTTGCGTTTAATAGTGTAATAGTGGCGAAAGTATTTTATTGTAATTTACAGCCAAAAGAATAATATAGTTTACGAGGCTTTATAGTTCTTTGCATATTTTATGAAATAAGCAGATATGTTATTTGATGCTATTATTTTATGCTAATAAATTATGGATGTATCTTTACGACTATAGAAATATACAATTCCAAAGAGGTACTTACTCTGTATATGAAACAAAGTAAAGTTTTTAAACGACGTGTCTATAAATAACGTGTTTCTGTCATTCTTGGGAATTTTCCCTTCATTCTTTTAGTTGTTAATTTAGATGAATAAGCATTTGAATCTCCTTACCTTTCTGAAAAATCACAGTTTCCTAGAATTTGGTCACGGTTACACAGTAAATAGATATTTATATTGATCTCTAGCTGTTCACCGTTTGAAAAGAGTTGTTTGACCATTCAGAGTTGTGCAAAATCTGGTTGCCATGTGTGCAACACATGCGAGCAAATTTTCGAGAATCTTAAGATTAAATAATAAGAAAGGCTTTTACATTGTTCGGCGAAAATACATAATATTAACGTGGACCTCTGAAAATGAGTAAAAACAAAAGAAAGAATTTTATTTAACATGGACTGATAACTTCAGAAAATCTAAGGCATCAAAGCGCCGATGAAAAATATATTATTAAAAGAAAAAGATCCTCGTATCTAATTTTCTAATCTCTCGTTAACATAGTGGTACGTATTTAATCAACACTATTATTATTACCACTATTATATTATTATTACGATGCATAATTGACAGACAGGAATTATAAAGTAATGAACTGTTACACAGTGTTTCCGTTCCTTTTCTCATTTTCTTTTTTTTTTTTTTTTCTTTTTCTTTCATTATACCTATTGTAATTGACAATCGTGGAATAGTCATAGAGATAATTGCTCTTCCACTTGAGACTGCTGTTTGTGATTTACAATTCTTTTCCTACAAAGTCGAACATTAAAAGTAAAATCGTTGCTGGCTATATATATATATATATATATATGCGTCCCGTGAAATTCAGGGGGAGGTGAAGAGATCCCAAGAAGCAGCGTAACTAACAATAAAAAAAAAAAAAAATCGATCCTTCGGACGAAAATGAAAGTTCGTCGTAGGATTCCTCTATCTTCTCTGCTACTTTATTTTTATTATAATTTACAGCGAACGTTCGATTGTTGGTCGATTAAATGAGAAAAAAAAAAGAAAAGAAAAGAAAATTATATTCCCCTTGTTATCAAAAATTACACTGCGTCTTGTGTACGATCGGCAACCGACGATCAAACGGCGAAAACCGTTTAGAGTGTAAAGGATCAGGGGGGGGGGGGTTGGTTTTCACGCATAAAATCGCACGGAGAGCAGTGAAGTGGAGTTTGTAAAAGCGACAATCAAAAAAAAGTCCACAAGAACTAATGTGTACATTAATTTATGTAATATTCCACTCTTTCCGTAATACACGCCAAGACATGATTGAAACAAAAAGAAACCTCGCCCGCCGCGGGTACAGTTAACGCGTGCTTAGCTGCACGCCTGAAACAATACAATCAGGAGGAAACGAAGGCTCGTTAAACTCGGCAACAACTCTTCGTCAACTCGGTATACCACACCAGTGTGCGCGTGATACATCGACAATGTAATTACACAACGAATTTTTTTCTCTATTCGATCACACAATCAACATGTGTCCTTTCGGCTTACAACGATAATACAGGCGTGTGTACGATCCTGGAACATCTGGGAGGGAGAGGGGGGGGGGGGGAGGAAAAATAAAACGGGAAACGAAAAAAAACGACATATACCCCCGTGGGTAAAGGGGCGAAAGAAACCAAATCCCTAAAACGTGTCACATCCGATCCCGTGTGATGATTACAATACGCTCTTTCGCTCTGATCGATAGAAAATAATTTGACGGGAACCGCGCGTTTTTCGGGGAATCTACACATAATCTACGAATACAATGCAAAACCGGTGAAAACCGAAGAATGGTTCCTCTGTTGTTGTTTTGTATCCGTGTACGTCTGCGTGTGACTGCGTATGTGTCGTTTTGTAATTCGCTTTGAGTTCGCTTTCGGATAACGAGAAAGAGAGAGAAAAAAAAAAAGACAGAAAGAAGAGAAAGAAAATGAAAAATATATGTATGTGTCGAAACTCGAATTTTCTTCTCACGTGTGTAGATACTTCTTGTGAATCCTGCGTGTAATTGTATGTGTACACGTGTGTCAACAGGACAGGAAACGAATTCAGTCGTAACAGCTAGCGTATTTTTTTTTCTTTTTTTTTTTTTTTTGGTTTTCCATAGCACATACATTCATTATACGTAGATTGTTCATAGCTTAATGTGATTCTTCTATTCTCTTTTTTTTTTTCTTTTTTGGTTTATAGCAACAGCGAATACACTAGAGCATTATTTTTTTTTTTTTTTTTTTTTTGGTCAGATTAGCAAACGAAGTCGCGATTCCAATCTGCCGCCGATGCGCCGATCGCGCTCACCGGCGCCGGATGTCAAGCACGATCGGCTGAGCCCATACACCATTGGCAGGTTGTTTGGGACTCGTTTCGTACAGGCGGGAGGCCGAAGTCTTCATCCGGAAGCGACCGGCCTCCCGATCGAAGGGAAATTTTGCATTCTGCTCTTGGCGAAGTATTTTTTTTCATTTTTTCTTTTTTTTTTTTTTTTTTTTCTTTTCCGCGCGATCGGATACCTCGTGTGACTGAGAAGACACTCGGGGGGAGGGGGAGAAATCTACAAAGTAGCTAGAAGAGATACAGGAGCGTATGTCTACAAGCGTCTCGTCTCGTAAAACGCAAAAATTAAATGACCTCGCGCACATTTTCCTCTATCTCCATTTGACACGTTTTCACACTGCTCTCTTCCTTTCTTTTCCCTATTCTTTTCTTCCTGTGACGGTTCGCGCGCGAAACGAATCGTTGATCGGATACTCGTATTTCTCTCGATCGATCGGAACGCGCGCGACACGTTTCTTTTCCTCATTCTCTCGTTCTTTTCTCTTTTTTTCTTTTCCATTTTCTCTTTTCGTTTTCCCCCAAAAAAAACCATTCCTAAGAGGGACGATCGTTTCTTCTACGCTTTTTTTAAATGTCTATGCATGTAACAAACAGCACCTGGTTCCAATCTTCTCTCTCCGACGCGACGCTCAGAATAACAATTTGTTTGCTTTGTTTCTTACTTCTTTTTTCTCTTTGTTTCTTTTTTTCTTCTTCTTCTTCTTCTTTTACTCCTACATTTACAGTATTATATACAACTGTTTGGCACCGGGGAATTGTCTTTTAAATTCGAATTGATGCCAATGAACACGATCCGTACGACTTTGACGGTTATATATAACCGCGATGACGCGTTTTCCGTTCACTCTCTCCGTAGCCGATCGAACAGCCGCTCCTCAGAACCACTTTCTTCCTCTTTTCCCCTCACTTTCTTTACGTATACGAATCGTTGCTGGAAAGCTCAACCTTCCTACTCGGGGTGGTAGCCGCCTCGTCCATCCTCTCCGTTTCTCTACCTTCCCTTCCAATCAGAACTGGCCCTGCGTGTCGAGAGGTGTCCAAACGGTTGAAGGTGTCAACACACGTTGGAAACGTTCCTTTTTTGGCATTGTTTAAAAATGTACAATGTGTGTGTCCGTTCTTGCTCTCGAGCCACTCCGGTATCAGTGGAATGTGGTTGCCTCTGTCCAATAGCTCCGGCAAAAGGTTACATTTGCCCCTCGTGCTGGAAAGTGCTTTTGCCGATACCAGAAAATGGAGAACGTCGTTGCCAAGTCGTCTTCGAACATAATGTGTGTATCAGACGAATTTCCTGAAATTCGTGTATTTGAATAGCGATCGCTGTGGAGACACATCGTCGTGTCCAACCGAGACGAGTTGGCAAAAACGTCCCGCCCACGCCATTTCAACCGTAAATCCAAACGCGTTACATTTCCTCTTTCACTCCCTTCTTCTTCTTGAATACTATTCTCTCTCTCTCTCATTTTCTCTCGCTCTTTCACCCTTGCATACCTCTTTCGTTCATCCCTTTTTTTTTTTTTTCTCTTTTAAATATTTTTACTTTATTTATTATTCTCGTTACTCTATGAAATTACTGACTGCCACTGGTATTTGTTTCATTTTTTTTTTCTTCTTATAAATTCCAGACTGCCCAGCAGCCAGACGCACAACAGTTATCACAACTTAAAATCGTATAATACTAATACATTACTCTTTTTTTTTTTTTTGTTTGTTTGTTTGTAAATATATTAATATTTTTAATCATAAATATTTTATATATATATATTTATATTTTTTATATATATATATATATATTGTATTAATAACAACTGATCTTGTATGTGTGTTCGATATTCGTGATTACAGGACTCGTATCATGATACTTACTGTGATTTAGTAAAATACCATACGAAATGTCGCGTATAATTATGGTTCACTTCGTTCGTATCGCTTTCCAGGACTAAATAACCAACTATACAACGTAAATGCGCAATGTATGGCTGTCAAGCGAATAAACGAAGGGAGGGGGGAGGGGGAGGAAGGGGGTGGGGTGGAGCGAGAAACTTCGTTCAATACTGCTGCTTTTCCTTGGTAACGTTATCTCGTGATTTTTTTTTTTTTTACTAGTCTATCGCATGTAACTCTTTCTTTCACTCAGTTTTTTTTTTTTAATTTTTTGATTCGCTTCCTTTCTCACTCTCTCTTTCTCTCACGCTCTCTTACATACACACGATATCTCTTTCTCTCGTTCTCTCTCTCTCTCTCTCTCTCTCGATTCTCTTTTCATCCTCGTTCTCTGTTTTATTTTCTCGTTTTTCTCTTTTACTAAAAAAATATCGATCAAAGCTACGTATAATGCTATATAATGATTATTTAACATTTAAAAATGAGATCTAGTTATTTCATCCTAGCAACTCGGAAAGGGACATTAAAGATTACTTGAGTTTATAATGAAGTGTCCATTAGACGAAACATTTTTTTTTTTTTGTCCTCGGTTATTCTTCTTGTCCTTTCTTTCTTTCTGCTCTCTGTCCTCTCATTCTTCTTCCCTTCTTTGGTTTTTAACAGTTACAGCGTCACAGCTTGTCTGGCGTTTTTCCATTTTTTTATTTTTTTTTTTTTATTTTTCTAGTTCTGTTCCTGGAGGAGCTCCCTTGCGTTTTTTTTTTTTTTTTCTTTTTTCAAAGCGATCAAAAACGGGGACAATCGTTTCATTCACGATTACCTGTGTGTGTGTGTGTGCGCGCGCGCGTGCGTGCGTGCGTGCGTGTGTATGTTGCGTGTTTCTCTTCCCTGGTTTTCCTTTCGTGCTTGCGTACAAGTTCATACAGCGCGTGACCGTGGTTCAGACAGACGAATTTCGAGGCCGATTTCGTTTGTTGCGTGTCGTGCTAGAACCGTGCCGCTCGCGCGTGCAAATACGTGATACACGTGGTGTAACATCCTCGTTCCGCTTGCACGTGGAACAACTTTCGGTCACTCAGAAGACTTCAGGCTCCGGTTCGTTCGAGGGCGCGGCCTGAAGTGCCAGCTGCATGCTGGACTCTGTGTTACGCCGTTTCATTTTACCCTTGGTCTTCTTCAGCATCGTGGCCTAGGAAGGGACAGGATCACAAGGGGCGCGCACAAAGAAGCAAACACAGAGATTGATAATACGTCAATGCCAGAGTGATCAAAGTGAAATCGACATGTCTCGCGTTCGATTGAAAAGATAGAAAGAAAAAAAAAAAAAAAAAACAGCCAGAACACTCGCGAGCCGAAACAGGCACTGAGAGACAGGGATGCGAGTGAAACGAGTAATCAAGTTGACAACTTCTATTTATCTGAACCGAACGGACGGGTAAAATAGCTGCAATTGGAGATCTCATTTGCATAACTAAATTCAATGCAATTAAAAGAAGAAGAAGAGGGAGAAAGTTTGGCTTCGATAAATCGAGTTCAGATAAATAGACTCGTACTGTGAAAAGTGAAACGAAGGATCTATCAAACGCTCGAAAGATCAACGGTTTAGGCCACGATCGTATCGAGTCACTCATTCAGACGACTAGCTTCTTACTTGGTAATCGAGATTTTATTCAAAAATGTCGAGCTAATGAAATAAAAAATGACACCGACAAGATCCTTCGAGGGTTGATCACCAAGGCTGGAAAACATCATTTGTGTGAAACAGGCGTAATAAGAAAATCATTTTATAGTGTTGTGAAAACGTTTCAGAGTTTGTAAAATTGAGTTTGTGTGCGTGCGAGGTGTACGATCGAAAGTTATCCACCGTAGGCCTTAACACCAGATTTTCTTTCGAGAATTTTGTTCAATACGTTTCTTCTCACACATACGTAACTTTCAACCGTACCCAGTGCATATACATACACACGTATATATATATATATATATATATATATAATATATATATACATTCTCTTTCGTCTTGTTTCAAAATACATGATGATTGTCGCTGCTTATTGTACAATATTTGCAAAATATTGATGGAATTTTGTCGAACCTTCAAGTTTTCACAACACCGGTCAAGCTCTGAATTGCACTGAGCATTCTGATGTGAGCGTAATTGATAGATTCTTGGACAAATCTCTTACAGAACCAGACGACACTTTGTCTTAGCCAGAATGTGAAATTGCTTCGAATTGCTCCAAAGAAACCAAATTAATAATAATATATATATAATAATAATTATATATATTATTATATATATAATAATTAAATAATTTATATATGTATTTATAATTTATATCCAAAGAAACCAAATTAATAATAATAATTATATATATATTATTATGTACATAATAATTAAATAATTTATATATGTATTTATAATTTATATAAATTAATATAGATTTATATTTATACAAATTATATATATGTATATGTATATCCTTGAAATTCTGAAATCTTCGACGCCGATTGTCCAAAAATTTATCGTTCGTCCCATAACACATCGACGACATTGGCACAGACAGCTACATGCGGCGGAAACATCGAATGGACATTTTACTACACAGGAAGTACATGTACGTGTGTACGCGTTGGTGTGTGCGTGTGCGTGTAATGTATTCTCGTAATGATCGCACCGAAACTCCCCTGTATCGCGTAGAGAGAGATGGTGATATACGCGATACGAGCAGGAGCTTAGGCGGAGCACCGGAAATTGGAAATTTTTCTGTCTAATCGATCGACATAGACCGAAAAAACTGCGCTCTCTAGCTTTTGTTGCTACTCTCGTCCGTGCTCTTGCCGCCCACCCCATTAGCGGGCGGGATCGAAGGCTCGGTATTCCGACGCTTCATCTTATTTTTCTTCAACATGGTAGCCTGGAGCGAACAAAGGAACAAGGAGACATTAGTTTTGTGTGCGATCAGGGGAGGTGGGAGTGCATGCGCTGCCGGACACCAGCGGTTGGATCACGCTCTTATATGGTGTCTGCGTAGAGCGTCATGGCAACAAGTTAGAGAGATCTAGCAGTTAGTGCAAGTAAAGATGCAAGATCCTGCAGAGAGTCATCGTGCGACAAACAGATAAACAGAGTACAGCCCCCATCGTTCTATCGAAGTCTCAGAATGAATGAAACACCGTTGAATGTCGAGTTCGTGGATCGGTTGTTCACATCGTTATCGTCAGAGGGTAAATTTCATCGTTCAACGAGCACGTGTAAAAAAAACTATTCGATAAACTATGCAATTTATGGAAAATGTGAACCGCGACTTTCAACGTTTGAAGTCCGGGACAAAGCTAGGTGATAATCCCAGCTAGAAATTTTGAACTTTAGGGGAAATGTTAACTGGCGACTGCGTAACGTTTGAAGAGATAATAAATAATTTATAGTTTTATATTCCAGTTGGAGGAGCTTTCGCTTGATACCTTCGCGTGGGTGTTGTGCCGCGAATGTCAAACTGTATACCGGGAAGGTATAGATTGGCATTTTAATTTCCGCTAAACTAGGGGGGTTAAATGTTTCGCGTTCTCGCGCGAATTAGCATGTAAAGTGTGCTTAACGCTCTGGAGATGAAACTCGAAACGTTACGTCCATCCTGTTCTGTGTTCCGATAGAATTATGGGATCGTTATGAACGGTCTGTGTCAAGATTACCTTCAGCGCTGATTTCAGAACGACAATGTCTCCTGGACTCTGGACCCACGGCTCTCCGTCCACTTGCACCGGTATGTCAGAGTGCAAGTGAATCTTTATATGTCCTCCCTGCGGAACATTTGAAAAAAAAATCATTTCTCGCTGCATTTCGCGCAGCGACAAATCACGAACGAGAAAGAAAACCAAAGGAAGAATAATTTAACGCTGCATTGTTAATTAAATACCTGCGCTATCCTCATCGCTGTACGAAGACCAGATTGAATTTGTCCGAGATGCATCACACCCGTGACTCCGACTACCTCCAACATTCCATCTCCATGGTTTGGTGTATAAAACTGATCTTCCTTGGTATCTGGACCCCAAGGATTTGCCCCGGAACCCCAACTACAATGCAACGTGTTTTTACATTTTAGGAAGGAATCTCGACAACTAACAATCTTGGCCGTATTATCTTTGTCGACGACGTACCTTAAAATATTTAAAATAATTATCCCTTCGACCTGAGGTAATTCAACGACTCTTCCATCCACTTCCAGTCGAATTTCCTTGTGCAAATCCTTGCAGGGTTTCCGCTTCACCATTTTTCGCAAGCCCATCGTCACGTACACACCTTTGTTGCGCAATCTGCTCTTGAACTTGTTCGGATTTTCTTCCCTGGCGTTGTGAAAGTCCAAACAGAGATCGGCATCGAGGCCAATGCCAAAGTAGTTGTTCATCACGAATATTTGCGTATTGTCTTCGCTGGTCGCGCCCGCTCCTGCGGCACATTTCGTGAAAATACATCGGTTAAGCTCCGGTTCGTTCTCGACTGAGGATTTGTTATTATTTTATTTATTTATTTATATTATCCTTGCCTAGGATGGCTTAGGATGGCTTCCGGTTTACAATGGGTCTGCATTTTTCTTATTTCTACTCTTATAACTAATCCTTATCGTCTACGTCTTATGAATCTAATTTGCCTTTTGCTCATCTACTTGTAGGAACTATAAGTGATAGTAAAAGTAGGATGTAGAAGTAAAGCAAAAGGTAACAGGTATAACAGTGTGCAAAATAAAAAGAGCTTTCTACTGTCTTCTACTATTGCATTTTCTTTGGTATGACTGAAGATTTAATATATTATAGGATTTAATATATATATAGGATTTAATATATTTTTTAATATATTAATTGAATTGTACTGTTCCAACTACCTCCTGAATTGGTGGCCAACTGTTTGTCTTCTTTCTCCTCCGTGTGAAATACCACGGTCCACCTGTCCAGCAACGACTCCTCCGCGTCGATTACGTCTCGCAGTAGGTTTAGAGGATCTTCGTCGCCGGTGTAACCGGAACCCCAGCACAGAACGCGCGCCAGATCGTTACCTGTTCCCAGGGGCACGATCGCGCAAGCAGGCGAGGAACATTCACTGTCCTGTCCCACGTTGTCCAAACATTGCAACACCCATCCTATCGTTCCGTCACCGCCGCAAACCAAGATTTTGTAATCCTTTATGTGACGGAATACGTAGAGACTGCAACAGAATCAAATGATGACCTTTGTCCTTTTGTTTTCGTCGGCCAAAATTTTCAAAAATTCAGGTATCAATTTCATTTTCAATTTCAATTCTATCGAGTCACTTCAGTTTTCTACTAAGTCAGATAGGTATTGTCGGAAGAACTGTAATCTGTTTCGTTTTCTGTACCCAGGCAGTGGGCCTCCGTTGTCGAGATCGAACACTTGGTACGGGTTCAAGAGTTTCCGGAAGCTGGAGATCAATTGTAGACCCTGGCAACCGCCGGATTTCACGTTCACGAAGACGAGCAGAGGTTGGACACCTGGAGGCACCATGCTTGGCTCGATACTTGGTAACAGCATAACTGCAGCGACAAAAATATTTAGACGTGGCAGACGTGTTTTTCTTTCATTCTCGTTTATATGTATTTACAAATATTTAGATAATAATAATATTTATATTATTATATATTTTTTTATATATATAATAATATTTATACGTATTTATAAATATTTAGATGTAGCGTTTGGTTCTTTCATTCTCGTTATTAAAGAAATTTACCAAAGAATGTCAATCAAATGAAACTTGAATAGAAATACCTAAAAGATGTTTGTCCTCGTATTTTGATTCTCTCAACGTATACAACGCCGTGACTGCCTTGTTCGAGTCCTCGTAAATGATCACCATCGAGCCATACTCGTAGTATATTGGACCAATAAAGGAGAATTTATTTTCTAGAAATATCAGATGTTTTCTTAACTCAACAAAGCGTAAATTAAACAGATAAATAACCGGCCAAAGTTACCGTATCGCAGCGTTATTTCTATTCAAGCGTTAAAAGAGTCACCTTTGCCCAAGAAATCGGTCAACATGTTTTCGTAACTCCTTTCGGAGAGATTTGGTGGCAGATTGCCCACGAACAAAGCTAAATTGGGTCCATGGGGATCTTGCTTCAGCTGAAGGTAGAATCGCATCAGCTCCATTTGCCTGATCGAGTCTTTGCCCAGCTGCTTCACGATGTCCCATGGCTTCTCGTCACGAGCCAGAACTCTCTCAGTGACTGAGCAGTAAGTAATATTAAAAGTAATAATATACAGTATACTATACAATAATATACAGTATAATATACAGTATAATAATAGTATACAGTAAGTAATATTAAAATGTGAAAAATCACACGGGGCCCGTGTCTCAACGAGTTTATCGATGAAACAACGTCGCGTAGTCGCGGTTTTATCTCAGCGAGAATAATCGTATACTTACCGCCGCGATCCAGAAGAATCTCGCTGCATCTGTAATCTTCCGATGTGAAATTTTGCAAGCCGAACTTCTGGAGCGCTTCCTCGATCAAGTCCGCAACGGTTGTTGCTTCTGTGACAGGTACTATACAGAATGACTCTGACACCTGTAGTTTGCCCGGATAGACACGTACCTCCCCGCTTTCGCTATCCCTGAAATCGCGGCGTCGAGATTTCAATCGCATCGCACACAAGTTTTGGAAACACACAAGTCGGTGCATCACCCGATGGAATGGAACTTACTTGAACCGTAAGAAGACAGCCGGACGTTTGCCCTCTTTGCGATTCAAGTTTAGAACCGGAGTTGGATCGCATAATTCAATTTCATCCGTGGCATACAGGTCAGTGAGGTAAAAGTTGCCTGAATTGGAACAAAGAGAAACATGTATATACGTGTGACTAAAAACTATTCTCCATTTCGAAGTACTGGCGAGACATTGAAATTCTATGAACACTGGCGTTGAATTTGATTCTTTAAGTTAGTCTTGATGTGGTTGGTATGTTAAAATGTTTTAAGTTGATCGCAATATTTTGATAACATAAATGGCCGCATGGTACATTTTCTTCCACCTGTTTGCTGGTTAATGGGATTCTATCTTTAATTAAGTATGCGAGAAGTATGAAAGCACGGGAGAAATAGAGTAAAACATTCGGCGTGAAATGTATGACAGAAGAACAATTCTATTGATACAAAACTATTCTGTTTGCAGTTGTCACTTTGATCTTTACGTGGGAGTAAAATATAATGGTCAACTGTTTTGTTACTGTGGGCGTACAGATACGTCTGACAGATTGAGTTCACGTAAATGCTATTGTCGTACATGTGTAGTTATGTATGTATGTATGTATGCACGTATGCGCGCTCAGATTTGTTTCTAAAAACATAAGTTCTCCAAACAATTCCAAGCATCGAGCACCATATCAATTAATTCTGACTGATATGGTCCGAAGATGGTAGATTTCTGTTCGCTATTCGCATCTGTGTTCATACAACATTAATGAAACAGCTGACAAATTTAATATTAATAGAAAATTAATGACATATGTAAAGTGAAACTGGTTCTTTTTTTCTTATTTTTTTACTGCTATTCAAAGATTTTGAATGTTTTAATAAAATTTAAGCAACGTTTTGTAACAGAGCATGATCCTACCGCTGACAAAGATCTAAGCACTCTTTCACATTATTTTGCAACAGAACGTTTCAAGAAAAACATATCTGATATTTGTATTGTTATCTAACAAATTTTAAACATTTTAACAAAATTTAAGCAATCGTTCATATCATTTTGTAACAAAACAGTTTCAGAGAAGATATCTAATTTTTCAATCCCGTCAATCGCTATCCAATCGACTTAAGCGCTCTTCCACTCTATTTTGAAATAGGTAACTGATTTCTCAATCCTGTTACTATTCAACGAACGTTTTCAACAATCGAAATTTTTAAACAATCTTCCACGTTAGTTCCCAATGTACGTGACATTTCAAAAGAAGGTATTCCATTGTTACCCAGAGGTTTCAAATGTTTTCAAACAAAATTGAAATGAAGGTGAGACAGAGAGCACAAGTAGTACGTACTAGGATCTTTTGTAATGTGAAATGCACGAAGCGCCGACGTCAGGACCTGTTCGGTGGTAGCTTGCCGTGGCACGGTGATCACGCGAAATATCCGCCGTCTGAGAGAATTGTTGCCGTCGTACACCTTGATCATCTCTGCAGAAACAAAGGGGATCGGTAACACAGGCCGCACACGGGGGTACAGCCACATGAAACATATTGAAATACCTTCGTCACCTCTTTCTTTATCTTCTTTCTCCTTTGGAGAACGCGGATCACGACCGTGCGTGCTACCCGGCCCTGGCTCGCCATTGTCACGATACCTTGCGTCCCCGCTGCTGAACTCTTCCGATATACTTCGCGCTGCAAAAGAAACCGGATGCCATCCTTGTAGCTTAAGCGAGCATGCTCCTCTGATCCAAGTATCAGGCAGGTGATACTTAATAGCGTCGTTGCAGCACAATCTCGATGCACAATATTGCGCGCTTCGATTCCGATACAGTTGACAGATGTAGCAGAGAAGATCTGCGAAGATCGTCTGAGAACGTTCGTGTCCGTTTCGTTGGTCAGAGAAATGATTGGCAAAAAAAAAAAAAAAAAAGAATTATTGAACAATTCAGGCTATTCCGAGCCGGTTACGATGAAATTTATACACTTTCAGATAATCATTGTATCGCTAGGTCTGTTTCGAAGGGGACGTGCTCTGTAAAAAAATTCAGATTTATTGGAATCGAAGCGAGCATCACTGTACCTAGATGTAAGATAAATGCGTCGTATCGTTTGTCGTTTCTTTTTTTTTTTTTTTTTTTTCAACTACAATTGGAAGATGCAAGATATATACATACATATATGTATATGTATTAATACGCTTGGCAATCATTACTCAGATAACATTAATGGTGTATGGTAAGAAAGCATCTATAGAAAGTAGCTATGATACTTTCCAGGTTTTAAACGTTTTCTTTACGGGAATCATACGTGGAAGTACGTGTCATCCAATTCGGACGAGGTATAATACGCTATTGGTATTATATTGCTATTATTGAAGCGCTAGTATACGGAACTGAAATCAATTTGATGTCAGATACACGGTGGCTTGGATTTACGTGTAACATCACAGTGAAGCTTACAAATGCGAGACATTCTGAAATTTTAGTGCATAAATTCTGCCTCGAGAGTTGTGGAAAGTAACGCAAGTTAACAAAGTTACAGAGACTCGCTTTGCGAAATGACGATATATAGCAAAGCGATACATAGAGAAAGAAGAATCAGGTGATTATGGTAGTAAATCAGATGGCAGTTTCATGAATTACAATTCACAAGACATCTGTCTAGTTTAGTAATTTTAGCAGTTGGTCAAAATTACTGTCAAACGATTAACTAACGTTCTTGTCATTGCAATGAAAGAAAGAATCGAAGCAAGCATTTCCTCATTTCATTTGACTCGACAAGAGACTATAACAATATCGAAGTTGCTGTTACTGTTGTTATGCACTAAATATTTCAGACAGGTTCAACAACAAAATGCATTTGTCTGCGCGATGATCGTACTCGCATGAGATGTAGTAAAATAAAAGAGAGAAAAAAGAGAAAAAAAAAAGGGGAAACTATAAGGTGTTACATATACTGCGCTACAATGCAAGAGACTGGTCGGTACTTTGATTTATTTTTTTTTTTTCACATTTTCACTGAAAGAAAGTTGGAGGGGGAATAAGAGATAAAGTGACACCTCTTACCACATCGGGCGCGATGGGTTTGCAGAAACGCGCACATGATAGGAAGATTTATTCGCAGTAGCGTTCTTGCAACTTGTCTTTGCACTGGCATTCTGTGGCGTGACAAGCGTCACAGGTAACTCATCATAGCATCCAGCGGGCTGAGTGTGTGACAGTACATGCACCGAGAAGAAGCAACACATACACGCATGCTAGAAACGTAAACGTATGAAAAAAACAACGAAGTAACAAACATTCATAGAGAAAGAGAGAGATAGATAGATAGATAGATAGAGATACACGGTCAACGTGACGTGAGGTGCGATTCTCTTTTTCTGTTTCCTTTTTTTTTTTTTTTTTTCATAATTGCGTTCGATTGCGTCCCACGCCCGCTGAAAACGTTAAATCGATCGTTAATACGTGCCATTAGAAGGTGTTCGTGTGTTGTACTCGGATTTTACGTGTATCTCGAGCACAAGGAGGATAACAAATGGCGCGATTGCGTTTCTTTGGTTTTTCGTCGACGAGAAAGTTTTCTACGAAAAGAATCTTTGACACTTTTATCGAATCGTTTGGCAATTACTTGCACTTGGCTGTGCATCGAAATTGACAATTGCAACAATTGTTACATTTGTTAGCTGCAGGTTGAGTGATAATGATGTTGATTAGAGAAAATTATCTCGCGAGAAAATGGAGTTTAAAGGGTTGCTTAGCTTTATCGTATCGAGCATTATATTTGTTTCTTTACAAATAGTGACGTTTATTTTTGACGTTATCCCAATTGTACGGTAACACATGTCAATCCTTTGCTTTCTACAACGACGTAAGATCAAAACTGAAGCGCACGTAACAATAAAATAACATTCAAACATTGTTATAAACGACAGTTGAGCCTCGTGACGTGTAACATGTACATGTAATAAAACTTGATAATGGCCTTGACAATGCCTGCAACATTTCTATGAGTGATCCTACGAAAGAAAGATGTCGTCACTTTCAATTAACGTTCAATCGATGTAAAATGTAATGCATGCCTTTTACATATATATATATGTTTTTTTTTTTTGTCTATAATCATGGGGAAATGTTGTTAAAGTATTTTATTGCGTCACAAGCTTACAGCTTACAGGTTCATATAATAAATATTAATACTTAGAAACAGTAACAGTATAAAACTTACGCCATTTTACGTACAACAGGTTCATACGCAGGTCACAAGCAAGCGCGTTAATTGCAGTGCCTCGCATAAATGCTTGAAACAATATGAAATTATTGATTTAAAAAAAAAAGAAAAGAGCAGCGTCTCGAAATATCTTCTCTCATGGTCAAAACAAGACCCGGTTGTCAACCCTTTCGGTACTGCATTACTCATAGCTAGAAGCTATCATAGAAGGAAATAATATTTCTCCCTCGCGCACTCTTTGTCCATTTGATTATTAAATGAAGTTTCAACGTGAGAGTAAAAATGATTCGAGCGAAATCTTTACAATCTTTACAACTGTGGATACGTTGACACTGTTTATCAGTGAAATTTGATCAAACCTTGAAAAAGAAGTTCAGATCGCGTGAACTGAAGGTTTCAAGCGACTCCGTCGATAAACAGAAAGGTCAGAATCAACTCAAGATGCAGAGCGTTAAAATTGGCGTAAAATATTTCCACGTAAAGAGCAAATTGGCGTAAAATATTTCCACGTAAGGAGCAAATTTGCTTTTTTGCTTGCGACGAAAAAAGAAACAAAAAAAAATATATATATATATCAAATTGCACTGATATTAAACATAGACGCAGCGATCAATGCGGAAACTTTGATCGAAACGTGGTATTTACTGCGGAGGGACGTTTTCTTATACACGTAGGAGTGACGTGAAATATCAGACGTAAAGTTATGATACAATCGGAAATGTGCGAGTGAAACTTTTTGCAAAATACGTAAGGGAGCCCGGGTCTCCTTGCGTCACATTATATTCCAGCTTTCGCTTTAGATCTGAACGTAGAATCCGGCTTAAATACACACGTTCGATACGTAACTTCCACTATGTTTTCCGCGCTACTTCCGTGGGATGTTCAGGTTATTCAGCTGAAATAACATCTATTAGTTTCATGAATGAAAGAACAGAGCGCCACGCCCTTACCTAATGGCCTCGTCGCGATCTTCTGCCAGTACCGAAAAGGTAAAAAAGGAAGAAAGAAACGAGACACTCTTGTCTCGTCAAATTACGACTTCGTGAATGCGCAATTTTCTTCAACAAAATCGTCAACGAGCGAAAGGAAAAAGAAAAAAAGAAAGAAAGAAAGAAAGAAAGAAAGAAAGGACAGCGAGAAAATAAGCGATCGAGACTTTGAGGCAAAGAGAGAAAGTTAAAAAGCGCGTGAGAGGGAAATAGAGAGATAGAAAAGTAGAGAAAGAAAAAGAGAGTGAGATGAAGGAAGAAGAATAGAAACAGACGAAGAACACAGTGAAGAGGAAAATTAAGCTGAATGTAAAACAATTAATCGCTACGGCAAGTTTTTCCGCTCGGCGATTCCGATTTCCGGTTTTTTTTTTTGCGCGCTAACATCTCAACATCGATTATGCTCACACAGATGAATGTCAGATGATGGTAATATTCTAGATACCTCGAACATAAGGAGGGGAAGCATGACAATTTCCATGGCAGCTACGTGGCAAAACTAGTGAAAGGCGCCTCAAAGCTTCGGCTAGGCGGCCTGCAGCCCCAATTTGTTCACTCTCAGCGAAATCGAATTGCTCTCCGATGTTATCTTCAAATAGAAGCAAACGGTAGACCGAGCTTTTTTAGACGGTTATTACCATTACACAAGTTACCTCTCTGATCTCTACACAGTTCTTTCACTTTTTCCCATACGAATACTCGGACACAAGAGGAGAAAAAACACATAGCGCGCCGGTGATCGCGATTTAAGGGGGTATTCTAGTGTGAACTTTTGAAAAAATCGATTTCTTTCTTTTTTTTTTTGCATATTCTTAAAGGACACAGTTTCAAAAATAAATCTCTGTAACTTTACATGTGAACTCCTGAAATTAACAAAGTTATGGTTGTTTGAAGAACGCAACGGCCAGCGTCATTGTTACTAAGCAATACTAAACTTTAAAGGCACTTTTCTGGGAACTATGTTTCTCAGAACGGTGTCCATGATATCTCGAAATCTACTTGACCAATTGACTCAAAATTTTAAGTACGCATTTAGCACGTGTGTGCCCCATCCAGAGTCAACCGAAAAATTTTATTTTTTATATTTCTTTAGGCTTCCGAAGTTTGACAAAAATATGCAAAAATCGATAATCGAACTTTAAAGTATCGCCACTTTTTTAATTACCGACTTTCTTCTTTTGTTTTGGTACCTGCTATAGTCAAATTCATACTAATTAAGGGACATTCACGTTTCTTTATTTCCTTTTTTAAAAGCGACTATATTTGAAAGTAGTATTCACTTTTTCTGTCCCAAAAAATTTTAAAACGTCGTTGAAATACGCACAAATGAATCTTGTCAATTTGACCGCAAAAGGTATAACAGTTTCTTTGCAAAAAATTCCCTAACAAAGTTAAAAAAAAAAAAAACACGCACTTCACACTAGAATACCCCCTTAATTCATTTAATTCACAGTCTGTCGACGAGAGTAAGGCGCGGCAATTGTATTTGTAGTAATTCTTGATTGTGATTGGGGACAAGGAAAAAAGGAAATTGTGAAAGCACACGTATTGCGAATTATAAGTCAGTTGATTGACTTGTTTGACGTAAAATCGTTCGTACACCAGAAATTAAATTACGTACAAATATTAATTTTAATCGTAAACTGTCCGAAGTGAGGAACTCGGGTTCCCTTTGCAACAATAAAAATGTCCGATCGTGTAATTTAACGTATAAATTTTCTTTGCACACACGTTTCATAAATATCAGGAAACACAAGCGAAACTTCAGTCGTTTCAGTCACGCAAATGCCAGAAAAATTATCAATAACGCTTGGTTTCTTCCTTTTAATTTGCTTTTAATTAACTCGTCGACAAACGTGAAATCAACGCGCCAATATTTAAATCGCAAACACTCGGCGTTTTAATTTAATCGCCATTATTTACTACTTCATCGCTATTTTATATACGCAATACTCATCGCAAATGTTCCTCCAAACGAAGCTTAAAAAAAAAAAAGGAAAAGAAAAAAATGATAAAAAACATAAAATCAATCGATAAGAATAAACTTTTCGGCGAAACTTTTGACAAATCCTTAAGCTACGTTTTCCAATCTCACTTCCGACGAAGCGGTCAACATATTAATAACTTAAATGCTTACTTCGTAATTGTAAATTAAACACATTCCCTTACTCTTCAGTAAATCTCTGGTCGATTCCAAAACTATAGTTTTCGATTTCCTAAGTGTCCAGCAACGATATCAGCAACCCTATAGTTTGTAAAGCCACGCGGATCGATTTAATAATAATTCGTAAATGTCATTACGCCTATTGAAAGCGAAACACTGAGAATAGCGATTAATAACAGCGACAGCCACAAAAGCTATATAACGTTTGCAAATATATACGTAAACTAGATAGACTCTGTTCGCAAAACTCGTCTTGAGGGAATCCAACATTTAGAAAATTGAACTCTACGTTCGGTATTTCAGTATTTCATTATGCCGCTGAAACAACCGTGTTGAATATTTCTACGACCTCGACAGTGTGAGAACAAGTCTCTAACGAAAAAGAAAAAAATATTTTGTTCAAAGGCTTTGCTAATTTTCATTCGTGTCATAACAGAAGTCGGTGACGTTGTAATTGAGCATTCGTATTCGCTTGTCCTGAAATAAATTTTTCATCGCCCAAGGTATCCTATCCATCCAGCGAATATGAATTTTTTTCTCGAGAGCGCATCTCGACAGGAGATTTTCATAAAATCTCACAAACATTCACTATTTCGTACAACACGCGATATTTTGTATTACTCGATGTTAACGATGCCGACGAAACGATTCCACGAGCGCGTTGAATTTCACCGAATTCCGCGAAAAAAATATTTGCCCGGCGAACTTTCCGATCGCGGCGTGTTCGAACGTATCGCGAATCACGCGTTTGCCCCCGGATCGGTGCGTGTGGAAAGCTGAGAGTGCGAGAAACTGGAAGACAGCTGTGGTAAATAGTTACAAAAGACAGGTATATACGTATATAAACGATTACTAAGAGAGAAAAACAGTGATAATCTGGCAGGAAGTTGGACGACGGACTTTCTCGTAAAAAACGTACTCGAGTGGAAAAGTGACATGGAAATGAACAAGACACAAGATAGATCTCTTTTGTACCACAGACCGTAAATAGTGAAAGAAACATGTCCGAGAGCTGAAAAAAAAATAAAAATAAAAAAATAAAAAAATACACGACTGGGATTGTTTCTCTTATCGAACATCAGCATGCTCTGAAGGGAAAAGTAGGTATATACGAATATATAATATATATGTATATTATAAAATTCGAGAGAGTGGTATATGTATCATGTATCTTTTATACACGCGCACGAATGAGCGAATGCTAAAGTAAGTATCATGCAAAAAGGTATTCATGTCTAAAAATCGGTAATATATCATACACAGGTTGTATATATATATATTTTTTTTTTAACATTGGCCAATAATGAACATTATCTTATATTGCCTTTCATAATCTTTTTCTCTCTCTTTCTTCGTTGTCAACGTTTCGCTATACGTATAAGATAATAAACATTATCGTGATATAATTTGCGGGACAATAAACTTTTCGGAAATTTTCGAATAAGTATGTGTATACCCGTTTGGTTTGAATGGGAAGTAATGCTTTCGATTTTATAAGTTCGAAATATTTGTGTTTTTGATATTCGAGATTTTTAAGAACATTTGATTCGAATTCGTTCATTTTCCTACAATTGTTCATTTCTCTGTATTCTTTTTAATTCGAGAAAATAAATATATAGAGTTGTACGTGGGAGTAAAGTAAAATTCTGAAATTCAACTTTTAGTAATTTAGCTTAACACTTTGCTTAAAATAATTAAAATTTGTTTTCAACAATATATATATATATATATATTTTCAAATGGAACATAATTGAAATTGTAATTTATTTTATAATCGTTCTTCTCTTAATATTTACAATTGCTCTTCTCTTCAATATTTCTACTAATTTAATATATTGATATTAATATGTATAAAGTTCAGTAGTGATAGTTATTAATAAATTATAAAATCGCAGGCATCGTTTTTCACGTATAGTCTTGTATATATCGCCTATATATATATATAAAAAAAAAAAAAAAGAAAAGAACACGTGTACGTATAAATTACTGTTGAAAAGACACAGGGGACATAGTGGACACGACAGCGTGAAAGAAAGAAAATTCTATCTCTTACAAGAAACACGTAGAAGACGTGACTGTTTTATAATATCTAAACTATAGATAGATAATAGACTGCTCGGTTGAAATGTATCGTTGCTACGAATACCGGCGTTATTATGTATCAACAATGAGTACAATGTGATCTTTGCATGGCAGTGTTCTTTTTCTTGAAATGGTGCATCAAGTATTGACACTGTGACATTTTATAGGAACCCGATAAAACGATGTGCTCGATGTATTGTGAAGACTTGATCGGCCATGAAATTCGTAACACTCTAATTAAGCCATTATTTGTTATCTGAGTGTAATAATATTATCAGTACGCAAGAATGTACCGAGTTTCCAGCGAATCTCTGAATTTTATAAAATATTTCCTAACCCAAACCTTTCTTCTTCTCTTTCTCTTTTTTTTTTTTTTTTTTTTTTTTT